AATGCTTCACAATCCCTGGTCTTCTGCTGACCTGTGGACCTCTCTACGTGGCCCCCACTGACCACGGGCAGCGACCACACCTGGCCCAGACTGTTGTAGCTTGGGGCTCTCCTCTTTGAACCTCAGACGGGTATGCGACGACCTACGACCTACGACACATCTGATTAAATCATGTTGTAAATGTTGTGGCGCTGGAAGGCACACGGAACAAAAGAACAGGAACAAAAGAACAGTCTAAATTTTAGTAAGGAGGCTGCTTCTTGTTACTAGTAGCGATGGCCTCCAACCTAATAGCGATGGCCTCCACCTAGTAGCTTCTTGCTACTGGGGTGCTGGAAGGCACACGCTTCTGGGACATTCACTGCCATAGCCGACACATCCGGCATAAAACCCAATTGAACTTGACGAGCAATGGTTGCTAGACCCAGCAAGTATCCTACGAAAGTCAAGAGCAGCCGTTCCAAGAGGTGTTGAGCCAAAGCAAAAAGGTGAAATTGTGATTCTTATGTCTAACGGCACAGTTCTCGTGTTCTTTCGATGTGACACGTTTTTTTTGCACCAAGGAACTTCTCCCGTGCCTCACGCATGGTCTTAGCGATGGCCGCCTCGATTTTCAACAAACAATCAGCCCCTCAATTTGCTGTCCCTTACCACTAACATGCTACTGTATTGTGTGCTGTTTGGTTGTCTTCTCTTTTTCTCTGCCTGGCCCGGCCCCTTCTTCTTTTCTTTCCACCTTTTGTATCCTTTGTCGCTTTCCTTTCGCTTCATTTTCTTAGACCTTAGACTCAGACCTTAAGTGACCTTAAGATCTTCCCTTGTCTTTTTTTTTGTGATCTTTCTGCCCTTTCTGAATCTTTCAGTCTGTCTGTCTTCCGTTCTCGTCCCCGATCCGGTCAGATGCGGCCAGCCTCCATGGTCTTGGACCTCGGCACCCGTCGTGTGAGCTCCCCTCGTGCCGCATTCAGCCGCTCCTGGGAGAGGAACATCGTCGGTTCGGGTCGGTTGTCACACATGAGATGCTCTACCAGACTCTACCACGTGTTCGGGATGGTCTCCCGACCAAAATACTGATGAGATGCTCTTGCGGAAGTTTGTTCTCATTTTTGAGGGGGGCTATAATGAGAACTCCTCAGTAAACATGCAAGCTGACCGAAGTCAACGAACGTCACTATATCAGTTGCCAATGACCTCGGTCATTCTTGGAACGGCCTCAACTGATCCCCACACGTCTGGATGTGGGTCAAAAGAATATGTCGCTTGAAGCGGCCTCTTGGAATAAAAAGGAAATACAAACTAAGATCTGTTGTTCCAGCCGACCAAAAGACGTGGCTGAAAAGAAAGGACTCCTGGTCGTATTGCTTCCGCTGGGCCGCATCGCTGAGCACCGTGAAGGCTTCTGCCAACTCCTGCAGCATCGAAAAGAGCCATCAAATCTTCGCCGTTCTTGACTGATGTTGAGTGTTTGTGGGGTGCAAAGCTGTTTAAGCCAACAAAGAACGATTGCCGATTGCATCCGATTGCCTATTCTGAAGCTGCTTGGATTTCAGTCCCTATTGATATTAGGACCCTTGACTTTGTCTCAGTTGAAGGAACTCGTTCTGCAAATAATCCTCTCTCCGGCTTCATCTTTATCATTGTCCACGTTCTGCAGCTTGGCAAGCCCGTTTCACATGGATTCAAGAAACCAGCACTATATAGTATAGTTGAATGAATTTGAATCACTTCCAGCTGCTTCTGGCACGATCAATGTCTTGCGGTCCTACCCCCTGGTGAAATTGCCAGAGTCGCGACGTGATGTACTCGCTTGAGTCGTGCTACAGCTTATACTATATACCAATTCCTGTGCCCCTTACTATGAGCTTTCTAAAGACCAAAGTGCAACTGTGTTGTTTGCATTGTCCCAAGACTCTCCTTGAACTTCTCAGCTGCGGCTGCATCACCATCCTTGACAAATGCAACTACATCCAGTGAGAGCGGCTCTCAATGTGTAGTTCGTGCTCTGAAGATTGACATTCGGCGCACATCTACGCTTTCAAAAGCTTGTATGGGCCAAATCTAGCAGATTCTTCTAGCCTGCTTCAGTTTTAATTACCAAAAAGAGATGGAATACACTACGCCCTCAGCCTGCCGAGCATCGTTTTTGTCTGGATGCCACTTCAATGCCAGTTGGCGATACGCCTTCTTAATGGCATCCAAAGGAGCCTCTTGATCAACGCCCAAGACCTGGCAGAGGATCGAAAGCCAAAACGGATGCAGAATCGGAGCTCAATCAGCTGAAACAAAAGAACTTCGGAGCTCCAGGGGTCTGCAAGAGTCTGCTGCAAGAGTCTGCAAGGGCAGTCTGCAAGGGCAGTCTGCAAGGGCAGTCTGCAAGGGCAGTCCATGGTTCTGTCAACTCGACAGGCACAAGGCTGCACTTTGAGTCCCACATATTCCCTCCGATCCTTTGGGCTGCTTGAGGGGGAAGACCGCGATGAAACAAATCCACATTGCAATAGCAGTAGGAGTGCCGGTGATTCAAAGTTTTCTGAAAACCAGACCTCATTGGGGTAAGTTTTCGAACAAAACGTCACGACCCGGCAAGTCTCCCGGCTGCCTTATAGTAGTCCGGCAACTTTGTCTCCATGGCGTGGATGGATGGTCTCTGATAGAGCTAGAAGCTAGAAGGGCATCATAGATCCACGTGAAAGCCATCTTCATTCGCACTATTGGCAACTATTGGCTTCAACTTGACCTTTGCTAAACACCTACTACTGCCCCAAGGTTGGTCAAGGGGTGAGCCGAGCTGGAGTAGTCTTCACATCTCCTCTGTTTGAATGCTGCTCTTTTTCCTACGACTACTATACGGAATTGTAAATTGTAAGCTGCTCCAAACAGCTACCCAACAGCCGCACGCTTCCACGGAACAACACACAAAATGGCAGGCTCGCCAGCTGGCCAAAGCCACATGTCGCTGTAGGTGTGCCAACTGCCCGCCATCCTCCCACGTTCAACGAATGGCATGTCCGTTAGCTCCAGAGAAAACCCCGACGTCAGCCCGGGCGTTTCCCAAAACGGTCCGTCGACCTCGGTGCCCGGACACGAGGCCACGTCCAAGCGTTGGGCAAACTTGAGCCTTGCAGTGGCCGAAACTGACAGTCCTTTGCAATACAGTGGCACCAAGGGTCTTGGTGGATGGTGGGGAAGGGGCATCAGCATGCGAAGTGGATTCTTTCTTGATATCAAGGCTCTTTCGGGCTGGGTATTGCGGAACATCACAGTTTCATTCCGGTTGAATGTCAACGAAGTTGGTGTGAGCAGCAACCCCTGCCAGGGCCCTGGCGTCTCTACGTGTAATACATACAGATGAGCACTCTCGTTGTGAACGATGCCTGGCTTGGGGTGCGAAGCAACAGAAAGAATCATCTATGTATACAAAGGTTTTGAATTATTGTCTACTGTTCACAGAGAGCTCAGCACTCCGTTTAGGCCTTCTGGCACAATAGACAATAGGTGTATTCCAAGAGCACAAAGAGTATGCGAGCTTTGGGGTGAAGTCTGACCTACACCAGCTCATGCTTGCTCATGCTCCAGGCAGAGGGAAGCTCCGTTCCTTGACCTCCTCTCCTCTCTAGCTGCGCAAAGACGTGCAAGCTCGGCCAGACATAGCTGGGGAGTCGTTCTCCTGTTCAACTGCAAATGCTCAGGGATTGTCCCAAAATTCTCAAACTAGCCACGTGGAATTTGGATTGTGGATAAAAGCGCTCTCTTTCTCTGGACCCCAGTACGTAGTATCAAGCTGAAGGGAAAGGCCTACTAGAAGGGTTGTGCAAACGAATGAGCCAAACACGATCAAAGGAATGCCACCTGGAACAAGTCAAACAACCATTGACAAATTTCAGACGACAAGCTCTGGTGGCTCATCAATGATGCTTGCTGCTCTCATTCATTGAGTTGCGCACGTCAGGGCGAATCTTCGCTTTCATGGGGACTCACAACTGAATTCATGCTTGGAATGTTCAGAGCTGTGAGTTGTCCTGAGACTCAGAATGGAAGCTTGACCAGGAGATCTCCACCAATTCTCTGAAAGACATTCAATCGCTCCTTAAAATTGGCAGTGCCAGGTCAATCTCAGCCTACAGGCATCGACCGGGCCAGCGAATCAAGATACGATGTCCAAGCCACAGTGTCCATATCCTTTAATATTGTATAGCAATGTCAGTCATGAATTCTGCTTCCATCCCCTGAAATACATGCCACTTGTGCATAAACGTCACTGGCTAGAAAAATCCAGGGCTACAAATCAGATTTGGTGTGTAGAGATGTGTATAGTGTATTCATGTGTATTCACACCCTCGATGTAATGTCGACCCTCACCTGGCTCGCCATGCTTCGTCGACAAGTGTCGCCATGTTTCGCCCGACCCAAGATGGGAGGTGTGGGCTTGGGAGGTCTGGAGGTTTTGTTTTTGTTAGCTTCTTTGTTACTACTAGTAAGGCACTTGTTACTAGAAGCGATGCACTTTGCTCCTAGTAGCTTCTTGCTACTAGTAAGGCTTGGGAGGTCGGAACTTTCGTTTGACTTATCTGCTATCCATGGGTTGTACTTGGTCCTCGACGTAAGTCCTGCTTCAAAGGAATCCCAAAAAGTGGCCCAGATGACCCACTTGGTAGATGTCCCATGCGCAGACCTAATCGTCCAATCACCGTGGAAACAAGTTGATGTTGCGTGCTCTAGCAGCTTGCCTCAACCTGGTTAGAATATTTAGAATATCAAAGCACTGGCTAACCAAAGTGACACGTAAAAATAACTGAGACCAAACAGTATTGATGTCCGGTGCGTTCCACTGAAACATTTCGGGCCAAAGCAGCTACAGCTAAGGTGTAAAAAGTGGTGTCCGCAAAGCCTTCCAAAGCGGTTTGACAACATGAATGTAAGGTCATGCATGATTTTGGTCCGAGTGCCTGAAAACTGCCTTGCAAAACTCTGCACCACCAGTCTGAGTCATTTTTTGGACTCTACGAATCTTCCACAGAATTGATCACGGCGATGTACCTGGTCGAGCTGCTTACGCAAGCAATCAAACATGACTGTGTACGTATCTTAACTTGCAATCTCAACAATGTGTTGATAAGTGATAAGTGTCATCATTTGTAATTCAATGTAATTCATGTTGTTCATTCTCATCATTCCCATTCTCTTGTTGTTGGATCCGGCCGCGCACGCCGCCAAGATCGACTTCTGCTCAGGATCGAGAGGGCTGGACGGCGAGGTCGCCTTGCGCCGGAGCAGCTGATCAAAGGAATGCCGCAGCCTCGGGCGGGTCTTGACAACCATGAAGGCGAAGGAACAAAACGAAGGACACCATCTCCACAGGCAAAGAGAAGAAGGAAATGAAAGCCCCAAAAGCACACCCCGGCAAGCAAACACTTGAGACTTGAGACCTCGACTTGTTTGCTGTTGCTGGTAAATCGGAACATCACTTTAGAAGCTGATCCCGAGTCCAGAATAGATCAGAATAGTTCATAGCTCGACATGGCATTCATCATAGCTAGCGGGATGTTGACAGGATGCTTGTATCTGAACCAGCATCAGATTCACTACAACTGGTGACTCTGAACTGACAAAGTTTCCCTGCAACGATACTTTGGAGGAATTCACATCGTTTTTGCTGATTTCAGAGCTGTGCATGGTCATAACTGGGGCCCACTGCTGCCGCAGCAGCGCAGCAATCCGGGGAGCTACATTCACAGTGTGCCAATGTTTCTCACTGCCTGCCAGAAACAGGCCGCTCTGCCCCCCAACCTAATGGCGATGGCCTCCAACCTAATAGCGATGGCCTCCAACCTAGAAGCGATGGCCTCCAACCTAGAAGCGATGGCCTCCAACCTACTAATAGCGATGGCCTCCAGAAACAGACCGAACACGGAAGTTGTTTAGATGCAGTGGGTGTTGCAATATGTTGCAATGTATATAGGTGTTTACCGAAACTGTGTTGATGTCAAGACGTCACACGTCGCACTGTCACACCATGTTATAATCGCTTGCAGCTGGACCCCCTGTACACACGGCTATAAAGAAGGCACCCTACGTTTGACATGGCCATGTCGGATCGCCCATCTCTGCACCCCACGCGGCACACCGTGGCACATCGGCAAGGGTGAAAAGGCCAAATCTAAAGCTAAACACATCCTGTCCAGCTGGACCTAGTCTGTGCTCGTGCAATGATGAAGATTCAGGAGAGACTAAACCCGAGACCCCAAACAAATGTCAGAATGACCATGACTCCTTGGCTGGGGTCCCAAAGATCCTTGCAGTTTAAAGCAGACGCCACACCGCATCTGCTTATATAGATTAGAGTCATTGATTAGAGCAATAGCACAGCATGTCCCAATAGACTTGATTCTCCTCTCATTAGCTGTGACAATGAGTTTGGGGTATATCGCGATTGCCAGGGTTTGAACAGTTCAATCTGAGGTCAACGACCCGTGAATTGAATGATCCACCAACCATCCAAACATCTATTAGGCTGCAGAAACCACTCTTATGATGGCTGGAAGCTTCATATATTGTATTGGTTCCTGGTTGAGAAGTGATGCTCACCGCCTCTTTTTGAGTTCGAAAAAAAAAATATATCTCCTGAAATTGAGGGGTTGGTGTCTCTGTCCACCTGAGTTCACCCAAGTCCACCCTGATCCACCTGTCCCAATGGAGACGCTCTTCTCCCATGGGTGGATGCCTGGGCTGAAAGAGGCAATGCTGTGAGGTCTCTGGGGAGAGGAAAACCACCCCACAGTCTACTGGTCCACCCCTTTCGAGTGATTCAAGTGAGATAGTCATAGTCGGCCTGCCCAAAGATGAATTGGTGGCTCTCCGTGGCTATGTGGCTTCCCTGTCGGGAAGCTTGGTCTTGGGATGATTGCAACTGTTTTTAGGCAGCAATCATCCCAAGTACTCCCAAAGAGGCTTTGCATGCATTAATCGGGTGAAAAGCCACATGAGAAAGGCCCACATGATTGATCATGTTTGCACTTGTCAAAAACATCGAGCAAGGAGGCCTTGATCAAGAATAGATATTGATCCTGCACCGCAAACGGATGAGAAGTACAGTACCCAGTCCTCTGGACCTGGAAGGCCCCACCTTCACCTCCCAAGCGCTTCTCGAAAAGCCGTGTGCCCGGCTCAGGCTATTGGCTTCGCCCCCGAAGAGCAACAAGGCCTCGGATGAGCTTGGGGAAAAAAGAACAGGAAAAAGAGCTTGCTTGCTTTGCGTTTCGAATTGGTCATCCATCATGGCTACATACGATATGTATGATATGATCTATGTTCAAATACGAAGAAATCAGCTGCAAATGTGTAGCATCAGCAGCTACTCCGGGAGTAGCGCATGATCTATACGAACCTCAGATAATCCATGATCCACTCCACTGAGCGTGATGGCGTTTGGAGGCAAGAAGGAGCTATCTCTCAAGAAGACCTCCGTCGCATTTTGAATTGACAAAATAGCGGAAAGAACAAAATGGGCAGTCACTAAAGCTGGGCAATCCAACAAAACGTCAAGAACACTGGAGGAGGTTGTGTCACATATCACAGCATCTGTAGGCTTAGCAAGGCGTCCTTTTTAAGCAACGCTTTGGCCGGACAAAAACCATCACACCATGACGATACCTGTGTTTTCGGATCCGGACCATGTCCGCCGCTGTGAATGGAGCAGACCCCCTGGTACGGCCTGTGAAGTCTTCATCTTGGTGTGATAGCAAATCCATCGATGGTTGGTGCGATGCCTCTGAACAATCACCAAGCAAAGGCTCACAGTCTTGCTGGATGCCCACTACTGAAGGCAGTGAAGGCACCAATCATACCAGTTCCTAGGCCTTTGGTTCAATGAAGGTTAAAGCCTAATGATGATAAAACTGATAAGGCAGGTTGTGCTCAATGCTGAGGAAGTCATTCACGAAGGGAATGTAGTTAGATGCAATATATAACCAAATATGACGAATATTATCCGACTATTGGGGGAATGTCCACACTTAGCTGCTCATCACCAACTGTGAGATATTCGAGCTCATGACTTAACCCTCTGACCCTCCGTCTTTTTGAAAGAAGAAGGGTCGTCAGCAGAGTTGACTTGGCAAGTAGTACAAGAGAGAGAGAGAGAGAGAGAGAATATGGCTCATATGCAAAGAGCAAACAACGCATCTTTCTAGGTCTTGGACAGCCCTTCAATCTTCCCATGGCCTCAATGAAGACTCTTCTCAATTACATTCTCAATCCATCCAAAAGGTGCTGTCATTTGCTTCGAGCTCACATGGCATCAGCAAACATATCAGAAACGTTGATACTGATACCATTTGACACCTGCAGTGTGCTTGAATGTGTGTGTGTTTTGAATAGCATTGCTGCGTTCACATACACGCCAGCACTGCGTTCACATACAGTCTCACTGGCCCAGTCACTTGATGAAGAGCTGCTGTTGGAGCTGAAGGTTCTGCTGCTCTTACTTTGGTTCTACTTGAAATACCCATGTTGGGAGTGAGAAAATATGGCATCGTAGTATGAAATGTGAGCCTATGCCCGGCCAAACCCCGAGGCCAATACACAGCGAGCCAGGATGCAGCTTCAACCTGACTGTGTACCAAAACAGCTCAACATGGCTCCAACAAATCCAGCAAACTGCCTCCAGAGTCTCCAGGTCAAAGGTCAAAGGTTTAGTCGCTGAACGGGCAGTTGTACAAGGCTGCAAACTCTACTCCAAGCTTGTGGCTCAAACTGCAATGGGAACCACACATCAATACAGCGCTTAGTCCACAGATTCATGGACTTGAAAAAGTTTCGGGTCATAACAATAGACCAAACCCCGAAACATGTGACATGTGTATATATATATATATATATCGGGTATAAAGACCTACTAGTAGGTTGTGAGCGAGATGTCTACACGATGCCATGTTCTCGAATGCAAGGCACGGAGACTTCTCAGGGCCACACTGTTCTGAGCCAGCCGAAAGGAGGGGGAACTTCTCCGTGGCCGACTGGAGCGGTTCCACCCAAAACTTCACGTCTAGGGCCAACGTTTCTGAGTCTAGGCAAGCTGCGACAGTCGCATTGAAAACAAACCAAAAAGGAGAAATCACTAGGAGATCCAAACACATTTCCAAACGGTGGCACACATGTCCCAAAGTGCAATGTCTTGCTTGATTCTCCGAATGTATGGCCACGTGAGGTCGTTTTGAAGATTGTACGTGGAGCACGGTCGCCTGCAGTATCTGTGTTTGTGGTATTCAAGTTCGCACGGTCTTTCTGTCTCTAATCCTACAAAGAACACTTACATACTTGCCTTACACTTGTTCATAGAGGCTCCTAATTCCCAATAAATTGAAACCGATTCACTGTTCTATCCACTTTGGGGGCCACTTACACTTCCAAATGTTGTTGAAGACAACCCTTTTGCAGCAGAAGAACTCTCCTCTTGCCTTCGGCACATCTATTCTGGCCACATTGGGATAGAGCCCGGCAAGCAGCAGGGCATTCACAGTGTGGACAGAACTCAAGTCCTCCACACTCCAAACACTACGTGGCTTCACATATGGTTTGCAATGCAAGAACATCATGGAACACCTATCCTAGGTTGATAATGGTTGACATACCTCTATGCGGAGGACTTCTGCGCGAAGCTTGGGGAATAAGATGGGCAGCCTCTCTCCACCTTGAGCACCGATCTTCTGGCATCTTGTGGCACTTTCTCAAGGTACAGTAGCAGCTGACAAGTTTCGACCCAAAGTGCTTGCATGTGCTTCCTCCGACCTTTTTTTGATGGTTCGATGCTTTTTCCAAAGCAGATCATCTCATGCGCTTCCCCAACCGTCCTGCTTGGGAATCTCGCTGGACGAGAAGGTCTCTACAAAGCCTTCACCTACAGGTCGAGCGTAGCGGCTGAGGGAAGTGTCGATGCGACGGACGTGATCAAAACAAAGTGATTGCAATGTTCACAGCATACTTAGCATTCATCACTAGTGGTTTCGCAATCATCATGCCAAATGCCAAATCATTGTCCTTCTCCCTTTCTCCTACTCTGGCTCCTCTTGTTGTGTCCATCGCCTCTCCTTCCCTTCTTTCATCTTATACAGTACAACCAGCCTCGCAGGGACTCTAAGAAGTCGTTGCCTTGGGCTGTTGGTGCTGTCAGAAAGACTGGGTTTTGGAGGTTTTTTGGTATTGGTCAGGTGCCAAGTGAGAAGGTGGTGAAACCTTGGAATAGGTGACCTGAAAAAATTGATGCGAGTCCACCAACCACAAATCTAGAGCCGGCTGGCTCCTCCAAACGTTGAGGGCAAACACTGATTGCTTCAACATCCTCCATGTGGCTCATAGATTCACCCACACACTGAGATTTGTGCTTCGTCAAGGAAAAGCATCTGCTATACTACCAAGCGTTTTGTGCAGCAAGCGTTACTATTACCCCACCTTGACTAGCAACTTGAGCAACAGCACAAAGTCACTCAACTACAAGACGAAGAATGCACAACTTCCTGCTGCCAATGAATCATTACATTCAGACGGGCGACGTATGTCCCGGATGGTCTGAAGCACCTCCCACAGTCGCACAAAAAAAAGAGTCCACCGGCAGCTAGAAGGCCCAAAATTGTACAAACTATTGATATGCTCGAATGGTCCCGCTGTGTTCTGCTGACTTGGTGTCATGTCAACCTTCTCGAGCATGTCAACAAAAGTGCGATTTCGAAGAGCGTCCATGCTCATCCAACCTAAATCTGTTGGTTGCAAGATTCTGATGGGAAGCTAGAATCTCACAACAAAGGCTCTGCCAAAAGCCGGTTGAGAAGCCAGAACCGGCCGAAGGTCTAGCTCATACACTCTCTGGCCTGGTTGTTCAGCCAGCTCTTTTTGCAGAAGCTCTCTGCAACCTCAGGTGCTGAGATGCAAGGAATAAGTCCATTCATGTCCATTCATCCCTATATGCGTTCATTCACGCGTTCTTCTTTCTTTGGCAACTGGCAACCGGATCAAAAGTGTTATCTTTGGAGCTGAGATTCCACTTGAAAGCTCGCCGCTCAGACGAATAGGACTCCTACCACTTGGATCCACTTGGATCTCCTCGAACGGACTATTTCTCGACTCGTTCAGACGAAGGTTCCGAGAATTGGCGCCGGCTGCCGGCGCCTCAGCAAACCCTTTGGGTTCGTTTGGGGCCGACGGCCGATGAAAACGGTCAGCCACCGCCGTACAATTAGGTCGTCTAGGCCGGCGCTCACCAGCCAAGGCAAAGATATGAGATCCGCACAATTCAGAAAAGGCATGGAAAAAGGGAAAACACAGAATAATCCAAACACCAACCGATACAAACCAACGTACTTTGTGTCTTCTCCTCGCCTCTCATCCCGGTGCGGCGCTCACAACGACGAGAGCCACTTGGAGCCAAAGTCCGCCACCAAGAGCTGAGCTCGCGGGTCCAGAAAAGCCTCAAAGGCACACCCAACTCCTCAAACAGGATGCTGCTTTATTAGCCCGCTCCTCTCTCCAAGGTTACTCCATATATGTGTATATATGGTGTTTTTATTTGGGGGGAGGCCGCTAGGAGGTAGGTGAGGTAGCTAGGTGGAGGTTGGCTAGTAGAAGCTAGGTAGCTAGTAGCTACAAGTAAGCTACTACGTATGGATGCAGGATAGCTCACGCACTAGTCATTTGGCTCCTAGAGTTTTAGGGAAACTTGAGCTCGGGGTAGGCCGCGGATAGAGGAAGAGGTAGCTACTAGCTACTGGTAAGCTACTACATACTGGACGCAGGATAGCTCATGCACTAATTGTTTGGTTCCTAGATTTTTCTGCCCCATCAAAGGCAAGCCAAATGGGTTTGCTGGAGCCGATTCCTGACTCAACTGTGCAGAGGAGCTAGGGAGTTGTAGTACCTTATCGACAGAGTCTGAAGCACTCCCTCGGTTTGAGGCTTGAGGACCCGTGCCAAATCCTTGGGGTCAAGGTTGATGAAAACCTTTGCCTTCGGTTCCATTCGTCGCACCCACTACCCATTGGTCAGGCATGTCCCTTTGATGTGATGCCAGGGTTGAAGCAGATTGCCCTTCAGCGGGCCTATGAGAACACTGCACTCACAGTGTGCAAAGATTTCGTCAAACCCAAGGGCCTGATTGACATGCATGCCTCCACAATCTTTTCCCGGAAACCAACTTTCCAAACACCCGGCTTTCCAACCGCAACCGCGCACTTCAGTCATTGTTGGTTGCTCCCTATCTAGAGACAGATTGCATGCTGCTGGGCTCTGCGAGTCCCCCAGCTGTCGTTTTTGTGGGTGCTCCAAAGAAACCATGCATCGCTTGGTTTATTCTTGCCAACATTATCACGCCATTGCGGGGCAGCCGCACTTGCGCGATTTAGGTGAGAATTTTGCCCAACTAGGCCATGTAGAACACCCTATCGGTTGTCGCAGTTTCGCCTGTTGCATGCCTTCCCGACTGAGGCAGATGCAGCCCTGTTTGAACCAGCTCTCCCGCGCACTGAGCTCTGGACTGACGGATCGGTTTTAGGCAAGCAGTGTTTCTGGACTACCACAGCGGCATATGCCGTAGTTGACAAGCACGGGACAGTCTTGTGGACAGGCGCAGGCAGAGTACGTCGTTGGGCCCTTTCCAGCTATGCGGCGGAACTATGGGCGATATGGGTCGCTTTTCGGCCTCCTCAGGACCAGTATATCTATTTATTGTGACAACAAATCAGTTGTTGATTGTTGCAACTTGTTGATCCAAAAGGGATTCGCCAGTGACCAGTGGAGGTGTTCGGACTGGTGGAAAGCCATCGCGGACCTGCACGAACAAAGAAAGCTGCAACACATCCAGCCTTTGAGGATACAGTGGATTTTAGCTCATGTTTGTGAAAATGTTTCAGCGCCTTTGCTCGATCCAGCAGCACTGCACAAGTTGGGTACGACAGTACAGCATGTCTTGAGGAACCGTGACGCTGATCGTGCCGCGAAACAGACAGCTCGGTCCATCTCACCCATCCGACCAGATATGATCCCCGTCATGCATGCGGCAACCGCACTGCACCACGAATGGCTTGTCAAACTGCACTGCCAGTTGACCGTTCAGATTGATGAGGATTTCAAGGAGTCCAACGAAAGACAAAATACCCCACAAGAGATCACGGTTGACCAGGCGCGTGCTTTGTACCCAACTTGGCCTTGGCAATCATGCATTGCTCATTTCGGCTGGAAGCCTAAAATCCCTCAAGGGATTCCCCCACCCAAACGGTGGAAACACCATCCCGAAGACTGGCACAATATTTGCAAGTTTTTGCGCTCCCTGCAATGGAGAGAACAGAAAGGGCAGGCGGTCGCATTTTGTGAGTTGGCCACAGCGGAGGCTATACACTCAAAGGTGAGGACGACTTGCCTACAATCCACTCCACTGTTTGCCGCATCCGGCAAGCTGTACAGGTTCTTTTGAAAAATGACAGATCACAGCCTTGTCCAGGCTTCTTTTCAGCCACCTATGTCAAGAGCTGTGGGCGCGTGTTGCCGCAAAGCGTAATTGTCGACGCCTTTCCGTTCTTTGCCAACAGTACGTTGCATGCTTTAGCTCGAACATTGTCAAGTGGGCCAGGCCGTACGATTGAGTCGTGGCGTGCGCCATTTCTATTTTGAGTGTGCTTGCTGCCTTTCCGGTCAATGCATCGGGGAATCTTGCATGTTGGGACCAGAGTGTCCTGCATGCCATCGTCGCGCTCAGATCGTCCGATGAGTGAGGTATATAATATATATATATATGTAATACTATTGTTATATAATGTCGAATTATAATCTGAATTGGACCATCCCTGTCACTTTCAAGAGAGCCTGCCTTGAATCAAAACCAAAACACCAATGTCTACTAGGGACACAACTAGTTACCCATCGTGCTCGCCCACCAAAAGAGCGGTGTGAAGAATTGTGGCATGGATTCAAGCACCGGTCACCAGCTCCTTCCATGTCAAGAGACTGGTCCACTCGGTCACGATCAGACTTGGGGACACCTTGTCCGTCCGCTCTTTTCGACATCCAGTACTGGAAATCTTGTTCGGTGTCAGCCTGAGAAGGCTGAACGGTTTCACCAATGCGGTCTTCGACAGTTTCCCCGACAAGCGCCTGGTTCACTGACAAGTCCCACCAATCAGCCCATGCTCAAAGACTCCAAAGTTATCGCAACATAAGTGTCAAACTAATTGGAACCCACCCTACTAGCGATGGCCTCCAACTCCAACCTAAGGGCGATGGCCTCCCCATTGAAAGTGAGTGCGCAAAATACAGATCTACGATGATCTAGGGGGCCCCTAGGAGAACAGCCCACAGATGCAAAAGCCAATACATCGATCCAGCTCTGGGACGTTTACATGTCTGCATGACTTGCAAGCAATGCAAGTCATGTCGTCCATTCTGCCTTTTCAACATACCACAATCTCCAAACCTTCTTCGCAGCTGAAGCAGTCACCCAATTCTCAACACCAGTCTCTTGCCCGTCGAAATCACCTTACCCAATGTCAAAACTCTCCCTTCAAAGTAGTTGATTTGTTGTCATTTCTTCACCACCCTTCCATTCACAGAAAAGTGTCTGGCACTGCCCCGCTTGACAGGAGCTAGTCTGAGGGCATATGCCACCTAAGGGATCCGAGAGCTTTCGACGGATTTTCGCTTCCAAAAATGAATTACAGGTGGTGAGTTCGAACAGATCATGTGCAGCACCACCACGTTCGGATCAGGAAGAATATGGAAGAAGGACTAACTATATAAGGTGCTCTCTGAACAAACCGCAACCACCAAGAATGCCGAAAGCTCTGGCACAACAAAAAAGTAGAAAATAACCGCCTGGTTGGAGCCTTTTCTACATGTTATAAGACCAGTCATGCCATGCAAACATCCATAGTCCATAGATGTCCATAGTCATAGTCTCTGTTGAGCAGGAAAGCTGCAAGATCGTTTGCACTGCGCCAAGACAGCTTGCCTCAGCAAACTACATTGATGGAATTCACAAGTACGCAAACATGCACAGAGCAATTGCATTGAATTCTTATCCTCCACTGGTCGACCCAAAGGAAAACATGAAGTGGGATGCCAAGCCCGCGGGCTGCGTCTGTACCTTCGCAGACCACCAATCAACAGGCGTTCTGCTGCTGCGTCACTGGCCAGCGGCGGAATAGACCCAATCCTCCATTGCTCCGTAGCAGTTGTCACCAACCTCGCTTTGGAATGGTCGACGATACAGTAATCTTCCGGCCGAGGTTCTCAGTTCAATCATGGACCTCTTTCAGCCAAGGCCATGGAATTGAGTGGAAAATTAAGTCCGAAAAGTCCATTCTATCAAGAAGTTCCTGCCCTCTAGGGCTAGGAGGCCATCGCTATTGGGTTGGAGGCCATGCCTAGCAGGTTGGAGGCCATCTCTAGACCTTGCGAAATGCTAAACCTTGCTATCTTGCCGAGGTATCAGAGTCTCAACGTATCCCGGTTGCGGCCGCAATGTGTCCAACTTGGGGCTGTCATTGGCACTGACAAAACTGGGGTTTCCTCCTTTCCAAGGAGAAGCTGGAACATCTTCGCTTCTAATCACCAAACTTCAACAAACATTTGGTGTACTGCATGAGTGCGTGGACTCTCAATTTTGATTTGAAGGATGGGAACTCGCGTGCTTTCAGGTGGCCCAGGTGTCACAGAAGTAGCCCTTCTCGTCCAGCCAGTCCTGACTTTGCAAAAGGGCCACATCAAATGTTGGACAAGTTGACTTGGCATCTTGCAGAAGCTACACATCCAATGCGGATGAGGTGGCCAGCCAGCCAGGTGTTTTTTCGGTTTTTCGGTCCGAGTGTGCGGACAAACATCTCACCATCACTGGGGATCAGGGAGAGAGTGTCACCCTCGGCTCTTG